CTCCCAATCCCCTCCCAGTCCCTCCCAACCCCCTCCCAGTCCCTCCCCTTCCCCGCTCCCGGCTCGGACCCCCCTGGAAGTCGGTCCTGCCGCAGCCCCGCACCAGCAGCGCGTCCCCGGTGAAGGCCATCGAGTCATCGTCCAGCACCAGGGTGACACAGCCGGGGGTGTGACCGGGGGTGGCCACCACCCGCAGGGCCTGGGGGGGGACAAAATATCCCATCAGGGGGGACCCCAAACCCCACCCTGGGACCCCAAAACCCACCCTGGGAACCCCAAACTCCCCTGGGACCCCAAAACCCACCCTGGGAACCCAAAACCCACCCTGGGACCCCAAAACCCGCCCCAGGGACCCCAAACCCCCCTGAGACCCCAAACCCCCCCGAACGCCCCTGAGGACGCCATAGGAGGAACCCAAAGATGCCCCTCTCCCAAAGGGGGACCCAAAACTGTTTTCCCCCCCTCGGTGCCCCCCCGGTCTCACGAAGTCCCCGAATTCGATGTGGTCTCCGTCGCTGAGCAGGAGGTCGGCCCTGGCCCCGCTGGCCCTGGAGATGACGCTGCGGCCGCCGAGGGCCCGGACCAGGGACCCCGAGCCCGTCACGTGGTCGGCGTGGCAGTGGGTGTTCACTGGGGGGGGGACATGGGCGTGGCTCAATGGGTGTGTCCCCATGGGCGTGTCCCCATGGGTGTGTCCCCAGGGTGTGTCCCCAGGGGCATGTCCCGTGGGCGTGTCCCCGTGGGCGTGTCCCCAGGGCGTGTCCGTACCTGCGTATCTGAGGTTGAGGCGCAGCTCCCGCAGCAGCTGCAGGTCCCGGGGCACCGTTTCCAGCACGGGGTCGATGACGACGGTGTCGCCCGAGGCCCCGTCGGCCAGGACGTAGGTGTAGGTGCAGGAGGAGGACTCGAACAGCTGCACCCCAAAAAGGGTCACCCCAAATCCTTCAGAATCCCCCAAAAAACCCCCCAGACCCCTTGGACCCCCCTTGGCCACCAGGATTTAGGTGTAGGTGCAGGAGGAGGATTCGAACAGCTGCGCCCCGAAAAGGGTCACCCCAAATCCTTCAGAACCCCCCAAAAAACCACCCAGACCTCTCGGACCCCTCAAACCCACCCAGCCCCCCCTAAGCCCCTTGAACCCCCCCCAAAACCCCTCAAAGGCCCCCAAAGCCACACAGAGCGCCCCAAAACCCCCCTGATCCCCCCC